GAATAATGCAGTGTCAGAGAAGCATAAGCAGCAGCCACCCATTCTTGCTCTCGCTCCGTGCTAGAGCCCATTCTGATCCTGTTGTGATTGCTCTGTTCCTGCTACCTCGATTCCCAAATCTCCCTCCCTGTCTCGTCCTGCTCGTTCCAGCTCCCAGTGCACACCCTGTTGGTCCTGCACTAGCCTGGCACTAAAGGGAGGAGGAATTCTGAGAGAAAGCTCACCGGGGTAACACCCACGCTGCAACACATGCTATTCCTACCCCTAGGATGCTTTTCTTGCTCCTAGGTTACTCCTCCCACTTGGAGAAAAAGTCAATAATCAACCTAGCTGATAAAAACTTTGTTTGCTGATTAAAGCAGATCTCAAATTTAAAGTCCAGCATCTCTCTTACAGTCAGCCGATGTAAAGCTTTGTAATTAGGCATAATCATGCTAGCTCAGAGCAGTGAACAGTATTTCTGAATTCTGGCCTAGCTACAATGTTTTGTGAAAGAGGAATGGATATGCTCAGTCACCACCGTTGAGAAAGCGGCCAGTGAAGCATAGTGAATAAAAGCAGAACACTAAGTGTTCACATCTAGCCTGACACAAATGAATCTCAGGGAAGGGGACTGAAAAAAATGATGTCAAAATCTGAGTCACTACCTATGAATGCATCTCTTTAATAATGAAACTTTGATGAAGTGATGTGCCTGTCATGAAATACTGTGAAGGGTACATCGACTTTATAAGATACTCTAAGAACTTAATAGGGAACATGATTTATTCACCATGTAGAAACATAAATGCAAATTGTACATAAGGGAAGATGCTTGCCATTCCCTGCATCTGCAAAATGTGTGTGAAATGTTATCAATCCATGTTTAACACCGTGATGAAGCAGTGTACCATCTTTTGCCAGTTCTGCTTTCAGCTGCAGCAGCATGCATTGAACATTAAGTGTGCTGTATGGAAAGAGCACTGCAACCTGGAGCAGAATTTATTACTCCCGTGATGAGAGAATGCAGCTTGGAGTCTGTACTGAAGCCTTGTAAAAAGCAAGTCTGCACTTTAAAGTTCATGTATATTACTCATAAAATAACAATTATCTTCTGCAGAGGCTTTCATGCAAAAATATCACACACAGCACTCAATGGAAATGATTCCTCTGACTTTTCTTTACGATGCGCCAAGTAACACGGGGAAACAAATACAGGCATGCTGGTAGTGATACCTGTCATCTGCAAGTTCAGAAACAAATCCTTTTTGAGCCACTATCAGAAGCGATTGGGAGTGCGCTGTCCTCCAGAAACCCTCATTGCACACTTACGGGGGCAGCAGCCCGGGCTCTTTCAGGTTTCTGCAAGCCGAGCCGGAGCGCAGCGCTGACAGTTTCCTCCGTTCTTACCTCTCAGCTGCTCCGGATCCGTAACGTCGCACGGGATGAACACCGTCCTCTGCGCTTCGAACTGCTCGTCCAGGGCCGCCTTGCTCTCCTGCCCGGCCTCGGAGTTGCGGTCCAGCAGGGCTACCTGGGCAGAAAGGAGGGAAAGGCTGAGCGGCAGAAGGACGGACAGACGGCTGCAGAGCCGAGTCGAGCCCCCGGGCTGCCGG